ACATCAACCCATCATCCACAGTAGGTATTTCTCCTAATGCTATCCCTCCCCTAGTCCCACACCCTCAACAGACCCCAGTGTGTGTGATGTTCCTAAGACAATCCTGAGCAAAAAGAACAAAGTTGGAGGCATCAAGCTACCTGACTTCAAACTTCTGCAAGGCTAAAAATTTTGGTATTGTTGTCAAAACACACATAGACCAATGAAACAGAACAGAGGCCTCAGAAATAACACAACACATCTACAACCATCTGATGTTGGACAAACCTGACAAAAGCAATGGGGAAAGGAATCCCTATTGAATGGTGTTGGGAAAACTGGCTAGCCACATGCAGAGAACTGGACCCCTTCCTTACACATCATACAAAAATTATCTCAAGAATAAAGGCTGTCATGAATTTAAAGTGAGACCAAGCAATGTGGTTTCAGTGTGAACTTCCCAGAACCTGAGTCATGTAAAACAAATGAAGAAAACATTCTCAGGAAAAATTAGTGGAAAAGGGGAGGCAGGACAGAGGTTGGTAAGAAGCCAAGGCTGTGATCTCTAGCAAAGCTCACACAATCTATAGGCTCTGCAGACTCCTTGGATCCCTCGAGGCAGCACACGACTGCAGGATACACCTCGGCTGTGTCTCTTCATACTGACAGCCATTTGTTAGTAACCGACCTGGTTTGGAAGGTCTGCCATGGGCGATTCTGGCTGCATATGTGTGTGCAGACAAACGGGCCTAAGAATCGAAGGGCGGGACTGCAAAGCAGCTGCAGGTGCTGCTGTTTGAAGTCACACGGAAGCTAGGGCTGAGAAGGGAAATGGCAAAAAGGATTCAGAAAATGTGGGCATGGCTTAAACATGGTTGAGCAGTAACGCCATACTTAGGAAGAAAAGAACAGTAGTAGGTGGCAGGTAGAGCACTCTTCCCTTTTTAACAGTTCAATAGTTTCTAGAACAGGTGGTTTCTAGTCACGTGGATGAGTTCTTCAGTGGTAATTCTGAAATTTTGGTGCACCTGTCATCTAAGCAGTATAAACCATACCCAATGTGTAGGCTTTTATCCCTCACCCCCTTCCCTCGGGTCCCCAAAGTCCGTTATTCTTATCCTCTGCAACATGCCTGCCTGTCCTCAGAACATCCCACAGCTTACAGGCTTATCTTTGGGCTTTATTCCAAGAACAAGACAACTTTCAAAATGGCCTTGTGAGAATGTTTGCTTTGGTTCCAAGGCCCAGTAGGGAAGATAGATAGTGATGTGGAAATTCCTAGGCTAGGAATTACCTCGCTAGGTTAAATCTTAGCGAGCGCCTGGCTAAGTGACTTAGTAACTAGCCGCTTATTAAATGCATTTTGAGTGGATGAATGGTGCATCATAGTCCAGTGGAACACACCTTAACATACTCTTGAGTAAAAAGGCATGTGTTACTCAGGGTCGTAGTTGGTGGTCAAGCCAACACTGAGCCCTAGATCTCACTTATTCAGTCGGCAAGCATACTCAGTGTGTGCCACATCCCGGGAACTGGGTTGTGCTGGGCTGGACACAGGGGCTACTAGCAGGCTCCAGGCAGCGGGTTTTGTTCCCTCCTCTGCCACATTCTCTCAGGCAGTACTGGAGTCTTTTTTGGAACTGGCTGCTCCAGGTCTCTGTTCAAGGGCTTCTGCCTCCATGTCAGTGTTGTGAAATTTTCTCCAGAGGTGGCCCGGAGGCCAAGCAGGTGTGGCAGTTCTGCAGCAGACGCATCTGCTACAAAAGTCGAAGATGACTCCTTTCCCCATTGGGTCCTGCTCGTCATCCCTGTGACTGCCTTTGGCTTGGGGACATGGCAGGTAAAGACTGGCACCTGGTGGGGTAACTCTGGGCCCTTGACCCTGCTGCCATCTGCTTGGGCTTATGCTCTGTCATTGTAGGTCCAGCGTCGGAAGTGGAAGCCGAACCTGATTGCAGAGTTGGAGTCCAGAGTTCTGGCTGAGCCTGTTCCTCTGCCTGCAGAATAAGTGTGTGGTTGTGCCCCTGGGGCTGATCTCACTTGAGTTCAACAGTGGAGCCCTGGCTTCTGCTGGGCAGCCTGCCCCTCTTGGCAGGACTTTTAGTCACTTCCTTGACCTCAGATGAGAGCTCTCAGTATCAGTCATCCTGTTGGGCTTGTTGTTGACATGTGACTGCCCTTGTGAAGGTACCTGAGCCCACCTCCTGACGTATGGAGGAAAGTCTTATTTGGGGTCCTGCGTGTCACTCTTTTTTCAGCAGGTGTTGTGAACTTATCCTCCACGGGGCCCAAGGCCCTGTCGTTCTCACTGCGAGGGTGGTCTTTTGAAAAAGTGCCCGAAATGATTTGACTGCCCTCTCCCTAGAGTATTCCCTCAGAGGCAGGTAAATCCAACCAAATGTTCCATCGAGCATAGCAAACAGTATGCCAGATTCGGCTTGGGGATGAGGTTTCGGCCCACACGTTTTAAAACATTTCACATGAAATATTCATGGAGTCGTCCAGATTTTTAGCTTCTGTCGTAGAGTTGGACTCTGGGAGTGCAGATCCACATTCCCACATGGCATCAAAGGGCCAGTTTCCCTTTAGAGAGGATGCCCTCTATCTTTCTCCTTTTCTTGTCTGGCCCTGTTGGGCTGTGTAGTCTGCCACCCTCATTAGGGGATTCGTTTTCCAGGCAAACCTTGCTCGGGCACTTCTTGTCTCCATGCAGCCCAATGGAACTGAAAAATCTGGAGTATAGGCCAGCGAAAGTCAGGGGGTGCTTTGATCACTCCAAGGAGCTGTATATGATGCCCCGGACTATGGTGGACCCTGCCTGAGAGGCCTGGGAGGCCGGCCGCATCTCCCCCTCAGCTGAGACTGGAGCCTATGTGGCCACTCCCATCCAGTGCACCCACCTAGGGTGAGCAGGGCATGTGGGAGCTGGCTGTCCTGGCAGAGGCAGTCAGGGTAAACTAATTTACATCACTACTTCCTTCACAGTCCCTAACCTGGGTAAGACCCTGGGAAACCCAAGATACCCAGAAAATTCGATTCCTTGCAGATTTTAAAATCCCTAATTGTGACATTGACTTAAACTTCTCAGCTAGCTCATTATGACTGAATAATTTCTGTATGTTGACCTCTCAAGCGGAAGGAGGGATTCATGAAATGGGGGCCCCTTCTCTGAAGAAACTCTCTAGTGGCCCACACATTAGATGATGGCGGGGTATAAGGAGGGGCCAAGGAGAGGAACTTGAGAAAGGATCCCAGCCCTACCTTCAGGGAGTGGAGTCAGGGATGGCTCCCTTGGGGGCTATTTGGAAGTTAAGAGGCTATTTGGGAGTTAAGAGTTAAGGAAGAACATTCCAGGCAAAGCAAATGATAGGTACAGGAGCACCCGTGTGATTCATTGAGGAACTGGAGGATTAATGTACAAATGAAAATACCTGGGGCTCTAGTTAGCCCATGGGTTCCTGTTTTGTGGCCGGGATGGGTCGGTCCCAAATGCTCTGTCTCCAGCAGGCTGGGATGCCAGGGCTTCTCCTCACCGCTGCCCCTTTTATGAGGGATTGGAGGCAGCCATTCCTAGTTCAGGGAAGAGGTGTGGGGTCTCAGCTCTGGCATTGTAGTGGGTAAAGCACAAGGAAAGAAGCAGAGATAGAGGGGAAAGCCATGTTGGTAAAAAGGTGGTGAGGTGGCAGGGAAGCTTTTATTAACCAAGGGGCCTCAAGAGAGGAAGACTGTGTGTGGGACTGCCAGCACTCCACTGAATCAGTCCTGTTTTAAAAGACTTCCTTGGTGCTAGTTGTTTCTATGGGTGCCTGAGTAACCGTGAGTGACCGTTTTTATTCAGAAACCCTTTCCACCTGGTAAATAGAGGGTTGGTTCCCCGGAAGAAAGTGAATCCTGAAACCTGGCAGAAAGGCCAGGTAAAGGACATGGACACTTCCTGCTTTAGGGAAGGCTCTGGGAGTCAGCCAGGCTCCATGGTCTCTCACATTCCTTTATAGATTGAGGGAGAAATGGACCTCGTTGGAATGGTGAGGCTGACAAAAACCAGTTAAGTCTTTTGTCCCCGAGAACAATCCAGAAAGGAACCACTGGCATTACGGGGACCTGGAGGCTATGACCAGAATCACAGGCGCAGAGCCCATCTTCATTGATGTTGACTTCAGTACGTCGTGACCAGCTCACCCCAGAACAAGTAGCTTTTGTGAATACGGTCCTTCCTCCTCATAACCCTCATTACTCAGTCTGTTGTGGCATACATTCTCGCACGTGTATATGGGGCAGGTGGCAATTCAGCAAAGGGAACCTAGCTAGGCAAGTACTGAGTGGTCAAGGCCAAGATAAAGGCCACACAGGATTTCCAATTAAAATGACAGCCACTAGGAAGTAGTGCAGAGGCTGGCAGGCAGCAGACGGTGGACTTGAGTCCACAGTCT